AATAAATCTCTTCATATAAACAAACTAAGGCTTTGTCTGTGCTCTTTCCATTTAAAATGAGAGGCAACCACTGCATTTTAATCATGATCCAAACAAAGATGATGCATACATGCAACATGAGCAGTTTTTAATCTAAATTAAACTGTATAATTTCGAAATTTGAAGCAAAAACAGAATGGTTTGACTTCAGTTTTGTGAAACTATACATAAAAATATCTGCATGAAACAGAAACAGCAGACGAGCTGAATGAGACTGCAGATTCACTCTCTGCCAGCAGGTGGTGCTTAAAGCGTTTCCTTGGTTTCCGCTGTAAACAAAGCAGCACTGCACTTATGAACTTTAATATGCGTTATACAGAGGCAAGATGAAAAGAAAAAATACCATCTAAACTTTTCTAAAGACAGTAAGTTCCCCTCAGACATGGATTCATATAAACTCCTACCCCTAACTGAATCGCGATTTGTTTAGCATCTCAACCGATTTGAATCGTCACATATTTTAATCGATTTTCAACCGGCTCGCGGTTAATCGTTACATCCCTAGTTACTTCAAGTAAAATAAGCACCTTTTTTTAGCTAAACATTTGTCATCCATCTTGTATTCAGTTTCCGCTCATCGCAGTACATTATGGAATTGTTGTCTTCACAAAGAATACATGCAGTGCTGCTTTCGAATTTGGCATTCGTAGGCTGCTCGCTAGAATTGGAAACAGAATTACAGTCTTCCTTTTGTATCTCTAAGGTAGGCTGGGGTGGAAATTAGAATAGAATTCATGGTACTGGAGTTTCTTAATATTTAACGAGAGAATTCCCTTTTTTGTCTGGGATGGGATGATTAATTTTCAGTGAGGAATGGTCTCAGTGTTATACGGAGTCTTCTATTATGCAGGTAATGAGTCTCTCGAAGTGTGAAAAGACAGTAATGAGCACTCCAAGCATTAATGAATTATACTGACTTTACCCATCATGCTCATAGTGAGGATCTGCCTGCTGCCAAATACAAGGGGAAGGACACTTGACAGTTCCTCTTCCTCCTCTTTTCTCTTTTAAGTCATTTTGTCTCATCTGCGGTCACGGGGATCATTAATCTCTTTGTCTCCGTATATACCATATGCTGAATCACGGAACAGCGAGAGCACATAAATCAGATAGGCCAACACTCACACCAGAATAAATGTGGCGTTCAGACCATCAAACGCCAGCTCCCTTTACTATCATGCAAACACAGACTAATGGGCAGATAACCACTTGGAAATGTCAAGATTTGAGCGGGAATGGCTAGATGACAAGGATGAAGTCATAAGTCATATCACATCTCCTCCCCGTCGATTGTATTGACACTCTCTAATGAGGAGTGAAGCTGAGAAGATAGAGGAACGGCTCAGTGCTGAGTCTGCTGGGCCGCAATTCTGCAGCTTAATGACCATTTTCAATGAGCAATCCATTTATTTTATAGCCACTATTTTTTGCTCTATTCTGCATATGTTTGAGTTTTATCGGCTTGGATGGAGGCAAGGGGTCAGGGTTTGTTTGGTTAGCATGGCCCAGTTAGCTCATGCGGGTAGATGTCGTATCTACACCATCTGGGGGCATCTTTCTCAATTGGCAGCCATTCAGATCCAAGGCCTGATGAAATATAATTTGATGAATACAGAAAAACAGCAATATTGTGAAGTACTATTATTATTATCTATTTTAAAATGTAATTTATTCCTGTAATGACAAAGCTAAATTTTACTCCAGTCTTCAGTGTCACATGATCCTTCAGAAATCACCTAATTTGATGATTGGCTGTTTTGTTATTATCAGTTATTATTGGTGCTCAATTATTAACTATGATTGATATTATCAATGTTGAACACAGTTTGTCCGGCTTAATATTTTTTGTGGAAGTCATGGTACATTTTTTTTCAGGATTTTTAATAAATGAACAGCATTTATTTGAAATAAAAAAATATTTTGTAACAGTATAAATATCTTTTCTGTCAGTTTTTATCAGTTTAATGCATCCTTGCCAAATAAAAGTACTAATTTCTTATATATATATATATATATATATATATATATATATATATATATATTA